TTAATGTAAGGCCTATTTCTGAAGAGGTTGAACGAGGGTTTTCGAGAAGACAGCGTCTTATTTGGTCATCAGATAAAAATAAAAAACGTGGATTACTTTTTCACACACCTAATATAAACATGCTTAATATATGTTCTTAAGCGTTTTCTGTAGTTTTCTGCATTTTTCAAAGGTCTGCTACTGTCTTTTTCCGAAAAGAAAACCCAACTATGAAACAATTTATTAGCGTTAACAGAATAGATGCGAAATTACAACATACAACAACAAAAAACCAACAACAACAACGAACGAGTTAAAAATTTCTATTTATTTTTGCAGCTTGGGCTATTGTGACATCTTGAATTGCAGAGTCGGCCATCCTTTTTGCACGAACATCGATTGGATGAGCATTTTCCAGCACATAAGCAATGTTTATGGCCTAATGGAACACGCAAAAAATGAAATAAAGTTATAGTTACTTACCTTGTTTCCCGTGAATAGAAGAATCACCGATGGCGGCACGAAAGGAAGTTGAACGTTCCGGCACATCAGCAATAGCAAGGAAGTCCGTCTCACAAGGATAGAGTTGATTTCTTGAAAACTTCTGTGGTAGAGTCCAATTCGCCGTCCCAATCGTGTAAAGCCCATCGATTGCTTTAAAAAAAATGGTTTAAGTGAATTTAATCGAAACAAACCTTCAGTGACAACGCCCAAAAGATTTCGGTGGCCAATTTTTGGTCGATCAACCGGATCAATTGGAATTCTTACGTTCTTTCCAATATCCAAAGGCTGAAATCTAATTGTGTACATTAGGTGAAACCGAAAAACGATCATAAAAGAACCTCTCTTTAGACGCTTGTAACATCTTGTCGGCTTGTTTTATTAGACCTGAAAAAACCTGGTATACTAGAATGAACCTGAAATCACCATCCGGTGTTGATTGGAGCTCGATAAGATCCACTTGAAAAAGCTCGTTTTGTTTTTGCATTATGATTGGCCTCACAACGACCGTTTTTTTTAAATTTCCTCTTTTCAATTCGCATTCTTCACACACTTTGACGTAGAGACTGATGATTTCTCTAAAAATGTAGTTTGAGCCAGTAAGCAGCACATAAAATAATAAAGTCAAAAACCCACTTTGAAATACCATAATATCCTCGGAGATTTTGCCACATCAAGTTTATTCCAGCGTGTCCAAGTTTTTTTTTGTGTGTTTCGTGTAAGAGCTGAAAGACCGCTTCTCGCTTAATCACTCGTTGTTGTGCTGGCATCTCTCCGCTGCCATTTTTCTCGCCCACATGATAAAGCTGCGCTCCCTTTTGTTCAATCACGAGCGCAAATCTTTTCAGCAAGTTGTTTTCGTGGTAGTTTTGTGGTAGTTTTGTGGTAGTTTTGGTTTCTCGCAGTTTTCACGATGATTGTGGAGCGTTTCAACCATCAAATTGTAGGCTTCAGCGGTTGGAATTTGTCCTCTTTTCTTCTTTTGTAAAAACACGCCAAATTCTTGGTCAAAAAGGTCCTCCATCTGTAAAAAAGCAGCATTTAATAGGAAAACAAGAAAACAAAAAATTCTCCAAAAAAAGACAATAAAATTTCTTTGAAAAGTGCAGAAAATTGCAAAAAAACGCTTAAGAACATATATGTTTATATTATTGTTCAATCTATATAAGATTTAGATTGAGTCTAAATCGGACGTCCGATATAGACTGTAATCTAAATCGGACGTCCGCGATAAGTTCAATCTAAATCGGACGGAAATCTAAATAGGACACAACATATATATATATATGTTGTGTCCGATTTAGATTGAACTTATCGCGGACGTCCGATTTAGATTACAGTCTATATAGGACGTCCGATACAGATCGAACAATAATAAACGTGCTTAATATATGTTCTTAAGCGTTTTTTTGCAATTTTCTGCGCTTTTCAAAGAAATTTTCAAAGAACATATGTTTAGCACGTTTATTATTGTTCGATCTGTATCGGACGTCCGATATAGACTGTAATCAATAAAAGACCTTTGAAAAATGCAGAAAACTACAGAAAACGCTTAAGAACATATATTAAGCATGTTTATATTATTGTTCAATCCATATAAGATTTAGATTGAATCTAAATCGGACGTCCGATATAGACTGTAATCTAAATCGGACGTCCGCGATAAGTTCAATCTAAATCGGACGTCCGATTTAGATTCAATCTAAATCGGACGGAAATCTAAATAGGACACAACATATATATATATGCTTTATTCAGGGGCGAATAGGAAGCGAATCAGATAATCATAACCTATATAACATACTGCTAAAATACTTTCACAAAAAAAGAAAGAAAACTAAAAATAGTACAGTAAGACTACAGTTAGGAAACACGGGTATAAGAAGATTAAAGATAGAGCAGATTTGAAATGGCAATAAGATCTAATTCGTTTACAGATACTTTCAATTTTCCTACAGACGAGAAGATACCGGACGGGAGCTTATTCCAAAACTTATTCCAAAGCTTATTCCAAAGCTTATTCCTGTAAACTAATACGGTTCGCAAAAGAATGATAAAGGGAAAGATGATGGGGATGAGAACCGACCGAAATTTGATAAGGATCACTACGTGTACTTCTAGGAGTTTCCACAATTTTCAAGAGGCTTATGCTTCAAGAGTTGCAATTAGAAAGAGAATATATTAGAGAATATATTAGAGGATGTATTAGAGGATATATTAGAGAATATATTGTAAAATTATACGATAAATATGAAATTATTTTTGATGAATAATATTTATATAAAAAGAAAGCTTAAAAGCTTGACAATAAAATGGTTTGATTTGATTTTAATGTGAATTAGAGATTCGCGTTTAAAGGCCCGTGAATTAATCAGAAAAATCACTCGCAAAAAGTGAGAAAATGGAGAAAATCGCCTTTTATTGGGCAATCCTGATCCACATCAAGTACAAAATTTTCTTTTTGTGTAGCACGTAAAAATCTACTTAATAACTTTTTTATAATGATATCCAGATAGCGTAAAAAAACTTGAGTTTTCAAAATACTTCTACTGGAAAAAAAGTTATTAAGACAAACCGGTTTTTGATGAAAGCTGTGGGGTTATCGACATCGACTTTTACGTCATATGATTAGAGCTCTTGCCGAAGAAGGAATTGAATCCCTACACAGAAAATTGGCAAACTAAATAGCTAAGATGAAAGAAGAAATGCGGCTGAAGAGCGCTGTGAATTGGCTTTGCATTGATGTCCTGTCGTCTGACGCGGGAAAATTTGCCCATTTAGTTTTTATTTGCCATGTGTCTGTTGTTTGTTATCAGCTTAATTTCTATTTCTATTTGTTTTGCATAATTCTTGACACTTTTAGAGTCGACGTCTACGATCACCCACAGCTTCCATCCAAAAACACATTTGTCTCAATAACTTTTTTTCCAGTAGAAGGATTTTGAAAACTCAAGTTTTTTTACGCTATCTGGATATCATTATAAAAAAGTTACTAAGTAGATTTTTACTTGCTACAAAAAGAAAATTTTACCTTTCTTCGTACTTGATGTGCCACGCGGAGCACCGCGTACACACTACGGTGCCGTAATGCCTTTTAGAAAAGCATCGAAAACGGTGACTTTCTCAAGATATGGTGTTAGAACGGTGATTTTCGGTAAAAGTAGGAATTGTTGAGGTTTTAAACTTGTGATCGGATCATATTGGGCTAGTCCGATCGGTTGGTCCGATCGGTTGGACCGAGCGAAAATGTGTGACCTCAGTTTAGAACTGCTACAAAACTCTAGTTTCTGGTTCAGAACTCAAATTGATTAGTGTTTAATTGATTCAACTATTTATAAATTCAAAAATGAAATTTCACGTTAACAAAACAACAATAAACTAGCAAGTAAACAATAAAATTTTACAAAAACAACTTTACAATAAAACCTAATGTTCTTAGTGGCTATTGTCCATGTCTAGCAAAGGATCAACTTCGATAATCAACTTCGATAATCAACTTCGATAATCAACTTCGATAATCAACTTCGATAATCAACTTCGATAATCAACTTCGATAATCAACTTCGATAATCAACTTCGATAATCAACTTTGATAATCAACTTCGAACTCAGACGAAACTTGACTCAAAAAGACAGAAAGAAACAGACAGAAAGCAGCTCAAAATAGAAAACAGAGGTTTCGCTTGTATTTTAGAAATTGTAGATGTAAAATGCTAATATGGATTAATACGGAATTTAATATGGATTAATACATTTAATATGGAAGCCCGATCATCGGATTGGTCGGATCGGATCGGTCTTAATCCAATCCAATCCGATCCGATCCGATCCGATCCGATCCAATCCGATCCGATTCGATCCGATCCGATCCGATCCAATCCGATCCAATCCAATCCGATCAGATCCAATCCAATCCAATCCGATCCAATCCAATCCAATCCGATCCAATCCGATCCAATCCAATCCGATCCGATCCGATCCAATCCAATCCAATCCGATCCAATTCGATCCAATCCAATCCAATCCAATCCGATCGAATGTCTAGTATAATAAAAGAGTACCTTTTAGCTAGCTCTGTAGCTCTGTTCATTCATCACCTTGAATGAGAAGGAGGTTTTGAAGGGGTAAACTTTAAAGCTTTAAACTCTAAAGCGCATAATTTCTACTCAACGATTTTCATTTCTGATTCATTTACCCAATCAGATGAGTTTACCCAATGAGATGAGTCACTTTATTTTACTGTGACTGTGACGTGTCTCCTTCAAATGATTGCTCTTGTGAAAAATCCACAAGAGAAGAAAAAAATGGAGTAACTTGGAAAGACGAAGAAAAAAAGAGCAAAAATAGAGGAGAAGACGTGTCGGGGTAATGGCAAATATTTAGTCGATTCTTTCTTTTTTTTTTTTTTTTGCATCACTCAATCTTGGGAGGAGTTTAGTGGGGTACAAATACGATTGACCCGATCGGGAAACCATTCAGGAAAAGAAAAACGGACGATCTCACGACATTTATCCATAACAATGCTTACTATTTTGCTCTCGTTCATCGTTTCAGGTTTGCACTTGGGATTTTTCAGAATTTGTATTAGTTTTATATTTCTGTATTAGTTTTAGTTCTAAAGTTTTCTTTGCATTAACTTTTTGTGAACTTTTTTGGGTTTTTTGTTAAGTTGGGTTAACTTTTAACTTTTAAAAGTTGTTTTTAACCGGAAAATCTTGCAATTTGTGCTTGCTTCTCAAGACAAATCTTGTTTTGAGTGCGTTTTTTCTGACAATCAGTGATTGGTTCCCTAAAAAGCTTTGTAAAAGTCTCTAAAAAAACTTGAAAAACTACCGGGTGCGTCATAATTATTGCAACAAGATACCCAAGGCATTGCACTCAAGGCATTGCACACCAAGAAGTTTCACTGGAAGAAGATTTTTAAACATAAATAGCTTTATTTAACAGCAACAAATAAGGAAACAAGAGATCATTCGATATGACCGCCTTTTGCCTTGATAACAGCCCTTAATCGGTTCGGATATGCCTCCACTGCGGCCCGAATGTCATCTTGAGGAGTCGCCTTCCATCCTTTGGTCAAAGACTTCTTCAATAAATCCAAACTTGTGTGTTTTCGAGAGCAGACATTAGCCTCTAAGATTTCCCAAATGGAAAAGTCCATCACATTGAGATCCGGTGAGTTTGGAGGCCATTCATCCTTGGTGATCACTGAGGGAAAGTTGGCCACACACCAGTCCTGAACCGTCTTCTTTGTGTGAGCGGGAGGCAATTAGGCAAGAATAAAGAAGATAGAACGCAACACAACAAAAAAGGGGGCCAAAAAAAATAAGAAAGCTGTTTGGAAAACGGTCTTTGAACTCTTGTTGCAATAATTATGACGCACCCTGTATTGTAATCAAGTCTGATCCGATCAGCGAAATTTTGCCATCATTGGCTACGTCCAGCCTTCCATTGCGCATCAAATAATACCTAAATTGGGCTATTTACGGTAGCGGTTACGGTAATTTTCCAAATTGTCCACCTTTTAGAAAAAGGTTTTACTCGCGAGAACTGATAAACTGAAAGAAAAATTTGCTAGATTTGATTTTCGATGCTGATAGAGTGATAGAAAAATTTGGCCGCATAATAAGCCGGCATACGAAGTAAAATGTTAGTTAAATATTTCGAATTTTACTTAGTACTTATAGTTAGCGTGTTCTAGACATGGTTATCGGGTCGGATCGGATCAGGGCCGATCGGATTCGATTCGATAGATCCGATCAATTGGGCTAGTTCAATAGGATCCGATAGATCCGACCGATCGAGCTAGTTCAATACGATCCGATAGATCCGATAGATCCGACCAATTGGGCTAGTTCAATAGGATCCGATAGATCCGACCAACCGGGCTAACCCGATAGGATCCGATAGATCCGACCGATCGAGCTAGTTCAATAGGATCCGATAGATCCGACCAATTGGGCTAGTTCAATGGGATCCGATAGATCCGACCAATTGGGCTAGTTCGATAGGATCCGATAGATCCGACCAATTGGGCTAGTTCAATGGGATCCGATAGATCCGACCGATCGAGCTAGTTCAATAGGATCCGATAGATCCGACCGATCGAGCTAACCCGATCCGATCTTATCTGATTGTACCAAAAAAACCCTGTCTACCGTTTTCTAGATATCAACGCCTTGGTGATCGGTGGTGGTGCCTCGCCAAACACTTGCCAGCCATGCCTCGATGCACAGAGTCAATGGATGAGTTGGGGAGCATGGAGTACTTGTCAAAGGAATCCATATGGAGGTGAGAATTAGTCACTAGGTCAAGATTAGCTTTCAATTAATTATCCTTTAAAAGCTTTAGTTGATTCGCAAACGAGAACCCGGCAATGCTCGGGTTCGAATTGTCAGGGAGCCGCCGATGAGTCGAGACAGTGCCAAGTCTATCGAGAGCCGACTCCAGAATGGAATCAATGGGGATCATGGAGCAGTTGCAGGTTTGAAAAAAGATAGATAAAGATGTAGCTTGACTTCTAGCAAGTCATGCGGTGGTGGAGTTCAAGTGAGGACAAGGACGTGCAATACACAATGTGGTGTTTGCACTTGTCAAGGTCCGGCCACAGAGGAAAGGGCGTGTAACTCGCAGGTAAGCAGTGATTTGGACTTTTACTTACCTAGCTTATCTACTTATCTAGCTATATTCCATGTTTAGGCTTGTTGCTCGTGGACCCAATGGTCAGAGTGGTCAGCTTGTTCGGTGTCTTGCGGAAACGGGATTCAGACGAGAAATCGCGGCTGCAGTTGCGCTGACAACTCGGTAAGCGATTAGAACAATATAGTAACAATATAGTAACAATATAGTAGTTTAAATAGCTCTATAGTCTTCTACCTTTAGTGCCCCGGCTCATCGATTGATGTGAGCGATTGTGCGGCTCGAGTTCCATGCCCAATCTGTAACACTTGTTATCAGCCACCGCAGCCGATTGTCCCCCCGCCGCCAGTTGCATGCACTACTTGTCAACAGGTAAATGAAATCAGCTATAGTATACCGAAAACAGGCTTTACTTTACCTAAAACAGGCTGATTTCTACAAAATCAGTCTAAATACCTATCTCTAGCATTACAGACGTTAGATGAATGGAAAGAGGAATGTAAAGAGCTTAAAAGTACAGTAAAGATTCAGTTCTTGTCCATTACAGTAAGTCAGAGCAGCTAAATATCTGTTAAACTGAATAGCTATTAAACTAAATATCTGCTAAATTGAAGGTAAAGAGGCTCTTTTCCTTAATCATGGTCTTTTAAAAGTTTCGTGGTTTTTTGCAATTCTTGTTTTTTTAGTCTTGTTTTAGTTTTGAAGCCTTTTGAAATTGTTTTAACGTATTAAGAATGCTCCAGTTTGCTCCAAGAATGCTCCCACATGCGCCAGTTTATTTGATCAGAATTGAAAGAACAATCTTAGGGAAGGGTCTAACAATTCTTGGTCTACTATCGGAAAGCTTGCTTCTTACACTGAAATCAGCATAGCATTGGCTGCATAAGCAAAAGATGTCTGTTCTAATCACCATTCTTCGTCGGACACTGGTGACTCTACAATGAGCCGGATGACAAACTCCGACTGCAATGAGCCGGATGAAGAGGTCAAAACGGATGCGCCACAAATCGTGACGAGCCTCGAAAACGAGACGATCAACAGCCAAGAAGAAGGCGACGCTGAGGGTCCGACTGAAGACGTTGACTCTGACGATGTTGACGGAGGCAGAGGTGTTGGCGCTGACGGACGCAGAACCCTGTCATGATTGTGCTTTGCTGAGCTGAGACGGCCAGGTAGCCGTCGAAAACAACAAAGAATTGTAAAAGACCACGAAACTTTTAAAAGACCAAGGAACTTTTAAAAGATCAGGGAACTTTTAAAAAACCACGAAACTTTCTAAAGACTACGAAACTTTTAAAAGACCACTAAACTCTCTAAAGACGACGAAACTTTCTAGGGACCACAATTCGGGGAAAGAGCCGTTAAAGATATTCAGTTTTTGACTGCTTACTATAATACTGTACGGAAATCATGAAACTTTACCAGATTTTAAGGCTTAACGATACGAAACGATACGTAAAACGAAGCAATTTTCTTTTTCGCAATTCTACATAGTATTCCTGATTGAAGAAAAGAAACATTGTCGCTTAATTTCTCATTTTGAAATTTTCAGTACCAGCCACCAACTTGTAACACTTGTGGCTACAGGACGATTCGAACAGCGATCGCTTTGGCGAAAAATTCAACCCTTCCAATTACACAAATCAAAAAGCATTAAATATTTCAAATTTATAAACAAAAAGGAAGAATTTCTGAAAAAAACAAAATCTCACAATTACACAACCCGAAAGAGTGAAAATGGTGAACATTGTGAACAAGAAAGAACAAGAAAGAACAAGAAAGAACAAGAAAGAACAAGAGAGAACAAAGAACAAGAAAGAACAGGAAAGAACAAGAACAACAAAGGTTTTTGGAAAATAAAAATAAAAAGATGAATCAAATCAAGTCAAGCACGAGTAACAGATTCGCAAGTAGGCTCTCGAATAGGCTTAAACAGGCTTAAACAGATTCAAGTAGACTCTCGACAGATTCTAGATTAAACAGATTCAAGATTCAAGTAGGCTCTCGACTTCAATTAGGAGAACTGAAAACTGTCGATGAAAATCCGAAAATGAACGATGAAAAGGTAGTCAAATAATTGAATTCAAGAAATAAGAGAAAGTTTTTATTGAAGTATCACAAAAGTATTTGTATTTTTTATTAGCTTTTTGATTTTCTATGGGGAAAAAAAGCTTGATTCTACTTGTTTACCACAATCTTCTGCAAACTGCAAACTTCACAATTACACAACCCGAAAGAGTGAAAATGGTGAACATTGTGAACAAGAAAGAAGAAGAAAGAAGAAGAAAGAAGAAGAAAGAAGAAGAAAGAAGAAGAAAGAAGAAGAAAGAAGAAGAAAGAAGAAGAAAGAAGAAGAAAGAAGAAGAAAGAAGAAGAAAGAAGAAGAAAGAAGAAGAAAGAACAACAAGAACAACAAAGTTTTTTTGGAAAATATGCGGAATTTTTCTTTTGAAAGGAAGTATTGCAAAGAGGCACCAATACAAAAAAAATATATTGAAAATTCCCTATTTTAGCACGTTGACGACGATGGCGTTTTTGCACAAACAATCGCATGGGACAACGTTGTTTTTTTTCGACAAAAAATGTCACCTGACATTAGGTGACAATTCGCCTGGGACATTGTCACCTGATGTCAGGTGACAATGTCCCAGGCGAACGAATATGTGTCAGACAGCATCAGGTGACAATGTCGTCAACGTGTTAAAAAGCTATTTTTAAAAAAAACAATAACCGTAAATGTGATTTGACAAATTTTCGGTAAAATGAGCATAATGGGAAACTTGAAAAGTGTTTTAAAAGTACTGTAAAGTACTGTAAAGTATTTTAAGTACTTTAAAAGTACTTTAAGAGTACTTTAAAAGTACTGTAAAGTACTATAAAGTACTGTAAAGTACTGTAAAGTACTTTAAAAGTACTGTAAAGTCAAATTTTTGTCTGGGTTCCGGTAAATCCCAAAAAGAAAAGTTCATCATAAGGGAATATCTTTTAAATTATAAGAAGTTAAAGATTTTTTTGGTCTTGTTTAGATCTGTTTCTCTCGACTGTGCATTTTCTAAAGCTTGTCAACTTTTGAAAGCCACCAAAACCGTAATCCTGTTTGAGAAGAACACACTTTAGCTAGCAACGGAAGCCTCGCTGAGCTTGCTGAGCCGAGCAAATGCTATGCGACAGCCAGTCTTTCTATTTTAGCTCGTTTCTTTGAGGATCCACAAAGGAAAGCGAAAAATTCATAAAAATTGCTAAACTTGATATAATGGAACCAAGATATCAGTACTTTTCATAAGTTGACACATTTTAGAAAACGCATTCTTTGAGAAGAACACCCTTTAGCTAACAACGGAAGGACAAGTGGCTGAGCGAAATGCTATATTCCTATACCATTCAACGCAGAATTTGATGCTGATTCCGAATATGTATTCTGTTTTTGCTAAATGACAATCTACCCAGGCGTTATAAGCGTCTAAAGTTTTGTTAGTACTCTGAAAATGTGGTTATTTGGGTCTTAGGGGCCTGCTTGCGGTCATTTGGGTCTTCACGACCTCCTTGGAAACCAGCTTCAGTGCGGTCGTGATCGAGTGGCACAGCTTTCGTTTCCAGTGCGAGACCTCACAGGTTCGACCTAGTCAACACTTCTTGTAGACAGTTGATGGCGATTGATTATACCTTATGGATTGATTATATCTTGCCTTATAGTTTTATATTTGAAAAGCTATATACCAGATGGGATGCGATTTTGCGCGCGCACAAAGAGCACCAGTCTTCTTGAAAAAGCAAAAGAATAATCCAAGGTGGGGATCGAGAACTCGTGAGTTCTCGTTCTGAAAACGAGAGCTGTACCACTTGGCCACGGATGCAGCTGATCGGATCCGCATGGAGGCTGCTAAGACCCATGGAGGCCGCCAAATGACCACATTTTCAGAGTCCTAACAAAACTTTAGACGCTTATAACTTCTCACAGATTGTCATTTAGCAAAAACGGAATACAGATTCGGGACCAGCATCAAATTCTGCGTCGAATGGTGTAGGTCGTATCGCATTTCGCGCAGCCAGTTGTCCTGCCCTTGTTATTCAGGTCAAGGGTTCAATCCCTGCTAGATTCTCAGCCAATCAAGACTGTCTGGCGTACTGGTTGGCGTACTGTAGTGAGACGGAGCCCTAGAACCTAGTAGTACCTTAAACGCATGAAATCTGGTGCACTGAAGATTTGAACTATTGCAAGAAAAAAGTCCACCAAATCCCTTGCGTTTAACTTGATTTTTAAATAATTTTTTATGAATAAGGCTAGAAGCAAAGTCTTTTCGGAAATCGATATCCAGTCAAGTTTAAAGTAAATTTTTAAATTCACAACTCAGTGACTCAGTCACAACTCAGTGAACTTTGGCAAATATTGAGGCAGTGATTTGGCTAAAGCTTTGCTCGCATCGATGAGCGCTCCGTGCACCCGTTTGACAAGGATTTCGTGTTTCTCCTCTTCCACCGACAGCCCATCCATTGTGTCCATCACGCGGCCGATGAACGCGAAATGGGAACCCTGAGCGACCAAGTGGATGCGATAGGCTTTGTCGAGCTGAAAATGGAACTGTTGGAGTTGGAGTGTATCAGAGTTGTTTTCATCTGTAAGCTGTAGGATCTGTAAGCTAGGATCTGTAAGCTAGGATCTGTAACGTAGGATCTGTAACCTAGGATCTGTAAGCTAGGATCTGTAAGCTAGGATCTGTAACGTAGGATCTGTAAGCTAGGATCTGTAACCTAGGATCTGTAAGCTAGGATCTGTAAGCTAGGATCTGTAAGCTAGGATCTGTAACGTAGGATCTGTAACCTAGGATCTGTAAGCTAGGATCTGTAAGCTAGGATCTGTAAGCTAGGATCTGTAGGCTAGGATCTGTAGGCTAGGATCTGTAGGCTAGGATCTGTAGGCTAGGATCTGTAACCTAGGATCTGTAACCTAGGATCTGTAAGCCAGATCGAATCAGGTCAGCCAAAAGCCAACGCCCTTTGACTTTGGCTTTTGGCTGGCCAGGCACAAGCTTTCCAAAAGCCAGGCAGGCTAAGTCAGGCTTCTGGTTAAATTAACAATTAAATTGTATTTGGAACAACTTTGGCTAGTTCAGTAACGTCATACTATTAAATATTTTAACAAACTCGCGACGACGGTATTAAGAGTGCACTTTTTTACTAATAATTTTGTGAAATTCAAGAATAAACTAAACTATTATCATCATTTGATGATAATAGTTTAGTTCTGGGCCCAGATAGCTCAAAAGAGGCCCAGCTAACTCAAAAGAGGCCCAGCTAGCTCAAAAGAGGCCCAGCTAGCTCAAAAGAGGCCCAGCTAGCTCTGGGCCTCTTTTTTTGAAAGCTAATACAAGTAGCCAAGAACTTTCTGCAAAATCAATAACAAAAATCCTTAAAAGGTTGAGTTTACACCAAAAGCTTGGCATTAGTACAGCGAATATCGTCATTAGTACAGCGAATATCGCCCGGAATGTGTTAAGTGTTGAAAAGCTTTAGAAATAATGGGATTTACTTCTAGGAAATGGAATTGTAAGGTAAATACGGGTGATACAGTTGTGGTGACGTTATCTGTTATCCCACAGTTATGGTGACGCACAGCTGACTACGTTTAACTGCTTTCTGTCTCTTTTTTTTTTCTTTTCTTATTAATTTGATGATTTGATTGTTTTTTAGGTATAAAGGCTAAGAAAGAGCTGCGTTATTATTCTTCAACAGCAAGGAAAAACATCCGGAAAATTCTTCAACAGCAAGGAAAAACACTCGCAGAGATCTCGAATCTTGCAGGAAAGAGATAAAATGTTTTTCGTGCTCTGAAGCATTTCAAAGAAACGGGCTTCAATGAAAATCGTAAAGAATTAGGTTCACCAAAGACTCCAATTCAAAAAGTCGATCGACTTTGATCGACTGAAAAGAAACCCTCATATTGAGCAGGCTCACAACCATCAGAACGATCGAAACCATCAGAACGATTGGCCCAAAAAGCCTCTCCCGTTAGACGACAGAATTGTTTCAAGACAACAAAAGCCTTAACAAAACATGATTTGCGCCGGTGTCACTCATTCAAACAGCCTGCAAAAGAAACGGGTTTAAATGAAGATCGTAAAGGACGAGGTTCACCAAAGAACGCCAACAATTCAACAATTCAACAAGTCGTCAAAAGATTTTTGATCGACGTAAAAGGAATCCCAAACTCCTCAAAGAATTCTGTTGGCCAAGTCCAAGTCTGTGCCAAGTCTGTTTGGCTGTCTGGCCAAGTCTGTTTGGCTTAGGCCAAGTATTGGAAAAAGTTCGGCTCATCGAATTCTCAAAACAACCAAAATGAAAGCCAGAAAAGGGATAAAAGGACATCTTTGACAGATTGAATGTAAAGAACACGTTTGAAACGTCGCAAATAAGATCGATAGACTTTTGTTGATATTTTGTCACCATATTGTAGAACTGTAAATGGGAGTAAATAATGGGGATTTACTGCGCATCGGTGCCGCAATTTAAAAACTAGCTTTTCAAAAAGCAAATGGAAACAATGATTGGGAAGGAATGTGCTTAAATGCGCTAAATTTGCGCTAATTTTCTTTTCTCGCTAACCTTCTTAAACTCGTTATCTCTCAATTCATAATATTTGTTCAATAAATAATAAAT